CGATTATATTTTACGGTCTTAGTTCAGTGTGATGACCCCCCCCCCCCCACCCGTCTCCCCCCCCCCCTTTTTTTTTTTGCCTTTGCAAGCGACTATTCTTTATTTAGCTTTCAGTTCCATTGCTGAAGTTAGATTATTGTTAGAAAATATTTTTAAGTTGTGTGCTGTCGTTACAATTACATCCACGTCTGGTCGACCCAGCCTAAAATAATTACTAGATTATGCCTTGGGAAGTAACGGTGGACGGTGTGATATTCACAATATCACCCATTGACTGTCTAGGTTAGTTGCGTATCCTTTACGGGACGTTGCAGAACCAACCCCAGCAGCCCCTGGCTGTTGCGTGGTTTTTCTAGGCAAATTTACTTCCACTAGTTTGCCATTGCTCGCTGGACGGTCGGCTTTCTTGATACCACTGTCGAAACCAACACAAGGCGCATGGCCCGCAGCTGGGATCGAACCCGGCATCCCGGCATTACGAAGCCATCGACTGTCTACTGGGCTATAAATATCTGAGCCTGGCCTCAAATAACAGATGTGCCAGGGACCTGATAAAAGTCACGTACATGTAACTATAACCAGAGGTTATCGCGAAGTTTTGACTGCTGCACTGGGAGATGACAGGTTCGAATTTCATTAAGGTCAGCATAGTTTTCACAATGTTTAGTTTCTAGAATGCCTTGTAGTGTTTATTTTTCCTTTGTTTTCCCAGTACTTCTTTGAGTCCCAAACTATTTTTGAAATAGTCTTTCAGGGTAAAGAACTTAAATAAAAATATAGGCCCCTCTATTATTATGCTATATTCCTTACGTCCTTCTTAGGACGTAATTTTTCGTTATTTGAAGCCCCACTCTGGCTTTTGCCAGGGGCCGCAATATAGGCAGGCCATCAATATGGCCAATTGTCTGAACGCGGTTTCTGGGACCTCTCCACGGTGATCCTCATCCGCATGGTGGCACTTTGTGTCATCGGGTGTTCATCGCTTGTGTGATGTCCTGGTGGGGTAGAAACCACTAATCTGTTAGCTCTGTCGTCTTGTCCATTGAGCTTTCCAGTCAGAGTTTGTGCTGTATTGAGGTTTTGGTTGATAAAGACATTGGTGGAAACGATCGGTTAAGTTTGGGTGCGTCTTTTCCATTCCCCCCGTTGAGCTTTCTAGTCACATTGTGTGTGTGTGTGTGTGTGTGTGTGTGTGTGTGTGTGTGTGTGTGTGTGTGTGTGTTTTAGCATTTCCTAGCTTTACAGTTGCCCGCTAAAACTTTAAAATTTATGACCTTAGACGTTCTATTGGTGCGTTTTATTTGTCATATATTTTTTTTTTCTTAATATGTAAAAGTAAAGTAAATTGAAAGTCCCTTTTCACGCCTTTAGGAGCATCAGGCATAAGGGAAACGCACCCATATTTTGACAGATCAATCAGCACTGGGTGGGTAATGTGGTCAGCATTACGCCAGCTGTCTTTGCTAACCCAGGACATACATCCTGGTACCCATTTTAGGGTCCTGACTAAACTTTGTGCACTTCTTTTTGTCTGTTCGTTCTCTGTGTCTGTTGTTTTCAGATGAGAAAGCCACGGGTCTCTGTTAAAACTGTGGTACGACCTATGTCCTTCTCTGATCCGTAGGGGCTGTGTGGTCTCGAGGCATTGTGTCTGCTTCGAGTGCTAGAGGTCCTGGGTTCAAACCCCGGTGAAGGTTGGGACTTAGACTTTTAGTAATTTCCCTCGTCTCTGAATAGTTAGATCGGACGCCCATGTGCATAGTGCACACATAAAAAAAATAAAATCCCTTGGTGGAATTGAAAATCCACCCAAAGTATTTCAGAGCCCTCGTTGGTGTTACAGAGCCCGTGTTGTGCACTGTACTGGGCTTCTTCGGATTCAGACTGTTAAGCCATTTTATATGGCGCAAATAGCCAAAATCACAGTTATAAATAAAAGCTCCCCTCGGGTCAGGTGGAGGAGGGGGGGGGGAGGGGGGGGGGGGGAATTAAAGAATAAGCAGGTATAAGAGCTGGAGGATACAGTTTAAACAATTTGAGTTATGCAGACGAGACAGTTTTGATAACTGAAAACGCAACTGATTTACAACTGTTGGATATTGTGGGCAAGATGAGTGCTAATAAAGGACTCTCCATGAATATTATGAAAACGGATGTAATGGTTATATCAAAGAAGATAATACCACATTGTAATATCTCAATTGAAGGAAAAAGACTTAACCAAGTCAATAAATTTAAATATCTTGGTACAATCATATCATCAGATATAAAATGTGTGACAGAGATTAAAAGCGGAATAGGTCAAACGAAGGCAGCATTTCAGAAAATTAAGAATATCTTATGCAATAAGTCGCTCTTTTTTAAATGTCAGAAATAGAGTGCTAAAATATTACATAGGACTTGTTCTGCTGTAAAACAACGAATCTTGGAATGTCAGTGAACAAATAAGGAAGAATTTAGAAGCAACCAAGATGTGGTTTCTGAGACGAATGTTACGAATACCTTGGACAGCCAGATTAACTAACACTGATTGTTTAAAAGAAGCTACAGAAAGTAGATCTCTATATGCAGTAATAAGAAGAGGACAGACACTGTTTTTTGTCCACGTTTTGAGAAGAGAAGCATTGGAAAACATTGTGACAGCAGGAGATATCAGTGGAAAGAGGGTAGAGGCAGACCCAGAAAGATTATGCTGGATGGGCTGAAACGATGGCATGGAGGAATATCACCAAGAGGGCTGTTCCAGGCAAACAGAAATCGTGATCTGTGGACATAAGAACCTAAGCCAGTTAGCAGGGCGCGTGATGATGATGATTAAAGTCTGTCCTATTATGTCAGTGGGTGTGCTACTACTCAGAGGAACCAAAACATAGAAAACATTGGACGGTTGGGTGATTAGGGGGGGGGGGGGGAGGAGGAGAGGGGTGAGGGGGGGGGGGAGGAGGGGGAGGAACAGTATCTTGCAAATTTTCTGAGTAAAGGGGACCACAATGGCCCTAAACTTTGATTAGGTCAATCTTATAATAGTAATAATACAAATGGCTCAAATGAAAGGTTGGGTAGGGTTGGGGGTGTGGGGGGGGGGGCACAGCAGTGGGGATAAAGATGCCTAAACGCCTAGATTTCGGCGCCCCTGCAGCTAGTTAATATCTATGTTGAATTTTCAACTGTAATGGCAAATGAACCACTCTACATACGAGCATTTTTTTTACGTATCCAATTTTGACCTCTACATGCAACTCTAGATTCGAGATACAAATAGCGATGCGTTGCGCATGCGCGCGTGTTTGTTATTATTAAGTCGCACTTGCCTGGAATAAGACGCAGCGAGTGTTATGTGTATGTGTGACACAACGTGTGGTATATGCGACACAGCGAGTGGTGTATGTGCGACACATTGAGTGGTGTATGTGCGACACATTAAGTGGTGTATGTGCGACACAGTAAGTGGTGCATGTGCGACACAGCGAGTGGTGTATGTGCGACACAGCGAGTGGTGCATGTGCGACACAGTGAGTGGTGTATGTGCGACACAGCGCGTGGTGTATATGCGACACAGTGGGTGGTATCTGTGCGAACAGCGTGTGGTATATGCGACACAGCGAGTGGTGTATGTGCGACACAGCGAGTGGTATTTGTGCCACACACGAAGTGGTTAGTTGCGACACAGCGACTGGTTCGTGTGCGACTCAGCGAGTGGTGTATGTGCGAGACAGCGCGTGGTGTTTTTGCGACACATCGAGTGGTGTATGTGCGACACAGCGAGTGGTTTATGTGCGACACAGTGAGTGATGCATGTGCGACACGGTGAGTGGTGTATGTGCGACACGATGAGTGGTGTATGTGCGACACAGCGAGTGGTGTATGTGCGACACAGCGAGTGGTGTGTGTGCGACACAGCGAGTGGTGTATGCGACACAGTGAGTGGTGTATGTGCGACACGGCGAGTTGTGTATGTGCGACACAGCGAGTGGTGCATGCGACACAGTGAGTGGTGTATGTGCGACACAGTGAGTGGTGTGTGTGTGTCGCTGTGAGTGGTGTGTGCGACACAGTGAGTGGTGTATGTGCGACGCAGTGAGTGGTGTGTGTGCGACGCAGTGAGTGGTGTGTGCGACACAGTGAGTGGTGTGTGCGACACAGTGAGTGGTGTATGTGCGACACAGTGAGTGGTGTGTGTGCGACACAGCGAGTGGTGTGTGTGCGACGCAGTGAGTGGTGTGTGCGACACAGTGAGTGGTGTGTGCGACACCGTGAGTGGTGTATGTGCGACGCAGTGAGTGGTGTGTGTGCGACGCAGTGAGTGGTGTGTGCGACACAGTGAGTGGTGTGTGCGACACAGTGAGTGGTGTGTGCGACACGGCGAGTGGTGTGTGTGCGACGCAGTGAGTGGTGTGTGCGACACAGCGAGTGGTGTGTGTGTGTCGCTGTGAGTGGTGTGTGCGACACAGTGAGTGGTGTATGTGCGACGCAGTGAGTGGTGTGTGTGCGACGCAGTGAGTGGTGTGTGCGACACAGTGAGCGGTGTGTGCGACACAGTGAGTGGTGTATGTGCGACACAGTGAGTGGTGTGTGTGCGACACAGCGAGTGGTGTGTGTGCGACGCAGTGAGTGGTGTGTGCGACACAGTGAGTGGTGTGTGCGACACCGTGAGTGGTGTATGTGCGACGCAGTGAGTGGTGTGTGTGCGACGCAGTGAGTGGTGTGTGCGACACAGTGAGTGGTGTGTGCGACACAGTGAGTGGTGTGTGCGACACGGCGAGTGGTGTGTGTGCGACGCAGTGAGTGGTGTGTGCGACACAGCGAGTGGTGTGTGAGCGACGCAGTGAGTGGTGTGTGCGATACAGCGAGTGGTGTGTGTGCGAAACAGTGAGTGGTGTGTGCGACACAGTGAGTGGTGTGCGCGATACAGTGAGTGGTGTATGTGCGACACAGTGAGTGGTGTGTGTGCGACACAGTGAGTGGTGTGTGCGATACAGTGAGTGTTGTGTGCGACACAGCGAGTGGTGTGTGTGCGACACAGTGAGTGGTGTGTGCGATACAGTGAGTGGTGTGTGCGATACAGCGAGTGGTGTGTGTGCGACACAGTGAGTGGTGTGTGCGATACAGTGAGTGGTGTGTGCGACACAGTGAGTGGTGTGTGCGACACAGTGAGTGGTGTGTGCGACACAGTGAGTGGTGTGTGCGACACAGTGAGTGGTGTGTGCGACACAGTGAGTGGTGTGTGCGACACAGTGAGTGGTGTGTGTGCGATACAGCGAGTGGTGTGTGTGCGACACAGTGAGTGGTGTGTGCGATACAGTGAGTGGTGTGTGCGATACAGCGAGTGGTGTGTGCGATACAGTGAGTGGTGTGTGCGACACAGCGAGTGGTGTGTGTGCGACACAGTCAGTGGTGTGTGCGATACAGTGAGTGGTGTGTGTGCGACACAGCGAGTGGTGTGTGTGCGACACAGTGAGTGGTGTGTGCGACACAGTGAGTGGTGTGTGCGATACAGTGAGTGGTGTATGTGCGACACAGTGAGTGGTGTGTGTGGGACACAGTGAGTGGTGTGTGCGACACAGTGAGTGGTGTGTGCGATACAGTGAGTGGTGTGTGCGATACAGTGAGTGGTGTGTGTGACGCAGCGACTGGTGAATGTTCGACGCAGCGAGTGGTGTGGGCGACGCAGCGAGGGTTGTGCCACAGTAAGGTCGTCAATGGGGACAACCCCCCCCCCCCCCCCCGCAAAAAAAAGCACTGCCAAATATTGCCGTTATTATACCACTTCTGCGGTGTAGGCAGGGGTGGGGGGGGGGTGGGGGGGTCTTGAGCCTGAGGTTTTACTGCCGCGTGGCTTGTGCTGTCGCCACAGACGGTGCAGGTTAGAATTTTTTGTGTGCACCAAACGAAACAAAACAAAAAAAGAAAATTCCATGACCTGCAATCAATCAGGTATCGTCTCCACAGTGAAGGTTGGCTGCAATGAACCTCTAACATCCCCTATCTCTTGTCCTGGTTGTACACCCTCTCAGCCTGCTGCCCGCCCATCTCTTTATGTTGTCCTACCAGTTGTAACATTGCCCATCTGTTGCTCTCTTGCCTTTGATTCCCCTCTCTCCCATGTGGCCAAAGCCTCTTTTTTTTCTATTAGTAATTCTCTGTTCATTTGTAGCCTTTCCAGAACCATGATTTTAATTAGGATTCGAACATGCAGCCCAACGTTCTTAACTGTTCAGTAACAATAGCAGCAGAAGAATCTGCAATATTGCACGAAACAGTACCATATTTGACAACGACTAAGTGCAATATCTGTAGTCGTGTTGTCTCAGGAGCCAAATAGTAATCGATCTCCCCCGTCTCCCATCATTTAGCAATAGTTTATGCCATTCCCAAATCTGCTCTGCTTGCTGTCTGTATTCGACTTCTGTCTGAAGGCTAATAGCTCACCGTCTGCAGCTTACGCGACCGCACTATTGCTGTAGCGTCAATTACATAAAGTAATCGCTTGGATAAAGGTACTGGTCACAAAAGTACACGTCTGTTACAGATTATTTGTCTTCAAGTTCCTTTTTTCCGTGCCAAGTGACTAGGAAGGTCAAATTCACAGCAAGGTAATTTTTTTCTTTTATAAATGGCCTTGGCTTCAGGTCAGTACCTAGTGCAGGGGTTCTCAACCTTCCGAATGCCCTGACCCTTCAGTAAGTTCCTCATGTTGTGGCGACCTAGAGCAAAAAATTATTTTCGTTCTTACTTCATAACTACAGTGAATACAAGTGAATGTGTTTTCCGATGGTCTTAGGTGACCCCTCTGCTAAGCTAGGGTATTTGGTTCTGTGGCAAACGTGTCAGAAAATGTGTGTATTTTGCATTAGCACATTTTAAGTTAGTTGCATATCCTTTACAGGACGTTGTAGAACCAACTCCAGCATTTTTTGGCTGTTGGGGTTTTCCTAGGCAATTTTACGTCCAGTAGTTTGCCATTGCTTTTTGGACGGTCGGCTTCTCGATACCACTGACGAAAACAACGCAAGGCCCGCAGCTGGGATCGAACCCGGCACCCCGGCATTACAAAGCGCGTTCGTAACGCCTAAGCCACAGACGCCGACATTAGCACATTACCCTTGTTCATATAAGCGGTGCAGTTCAGCAGTGAGTGTTTATATTTGTGTAGGGTGGAACACTTTAGACTTCTCCATCAAAATGACTTCCCCAGTGGTCTCTCCAGATAAGTGACTGCTACTTTTGAACAAACAAAATGATTCATCTTTTGTTTGTTTGTTCCAAAGATGTGTTATCTTAAGATCGGTATTTGAAAAAAACCCACGCTCTAAAACTAGAAACACCCAAGGCTCTTGTCGGTCACATCAAATACGACTATAGATCAGTCATCCTCACAGCCGAGCACCAATTTGAATTAAAAATTTTTTTTTTATTGAAGTCGTCCTCTTGTGGGATGCAATATTATTATTTTTTTTTTTTTTGAAGCCCCACCCTGGCTTTTCCTGGGGTCCTTGAATATAACCGGGCCATAAATATGACCTAGCCCTAGATATGGCCTAAACGGCTGACAGAGGTTTCTGGGACGTCTCCACGGGTGATTCTCATCCGCATGGTGACACTTTGTGTCACCGGGCGTTTATCGCTTGTGTGATGTCCTGGTGGGGTACAACTACCTACTTACCTACCTACCAACTGGCAAACTAATTAAATTAATTCTTTCTTACCATGTTTTTAACTTCAGCAGTGTCCTATGCTATAGTTTTTCTTTCTTAAAGCAATGCATTTTTTAATTTTATTTAATTTTACAGAACTGAAGTAAACAACTTTAAAAAAGAAGTCGGTATAGTAGTAATGGAAATATCAGCGATTAACATAACATAAGAATGGAAGAAAGAGAAAAACATGAACTGTATATGATGTAAAGAGAAATAATGAAGGTATGGTGAGTTTCCCAGTACTGAAAGAGTTGAGCATTGAACGTGTCTCTTGTAGATTTCAGTTTAGTGCATTTCCGACTGGTGTTGGAAGGTTCATCTACATTAAAGAAGAACAGGACAAGGCTAAGGAGGGTGAAAGGAGGAGAAGGAGGAGGAAGTCGAAGAAAAAGAAGAAGAAGAAGAAGAAGAAGAAGAAGAAGAAGAAGAAGAAGAAGAAGAAGAAGAAGAAGAAGAAGAAGAAGAAGAAGAAGAAGAAGAAGAAGAAGAGGAAGAAGAAGAAGAAGAAGAAGAAGAAGAAGAAGAAGAAGAAGAAGAAGAAGAAGAAGGACTATAGGAGGAGGAGGAAGGAGAAGAAGAAGAAGAAGATGAAGAAGAAGAAGAAGAAAAAGAAAAAGAAGAAAAGAAGAAGAAGAAAAAGAAGAAGAAGAAAAAGAAGAGAAGAAGATGCAGAGGAAGAAAAAGAAGAAGAAGAAGAAGAAGAAGAAGAAGAAGAAGAAGAAGGAGAAGAAGAAGAAGAAGAAGAAGAAGAAGAAGAAGAAGAAGAAGAAGAAGAAGAAGAAGAAGAAGAAGAAGAAGAAAAAAGGAAGAAGAAGAAGAAGAAGAAGAAGAAGAAGAAGAAGAAGAAGAAGAAGAAGAAGAAGAAAAAGAAGAAGAAGAAGAAGAAAAAGAAGAAGAAAGAAAAGAGGAAGAAGAATAAAAAGAAGAAGAAAGAAGAAGAAGAAGAAGAAGAAGAAGAAGAAGAAGAAGAAGAAGAAGATGAAGAAAAAAAAAGAAGAGGAAGAAGAAAAAAAGAAGAATAAGAAGAAGAAAATTATAATGTTGATGATAATGATGACTTTGATGATGGTGATGATCAAGATGAGGATGATGATGATGACGATAATGATGACGATAATGATAACGATAATGATGATGCCGATAACGACGACGGTGAAGAGTGGAATGATAAGGAGAAGGAGGACGATAAGTAGAAGAGAAGGAGAAGAGGAAATAGAAGGAGGAGGAGAAAAAGAACTGGGTTATTTATGACTATAATTGTACGCTTATGGTTAAAAACTCTTATTTATGTCAATCGGCGATGACACCACTTTTTAAACATTACACCAAATAAAAACAATCTAACCTAAAGTTTGGACCACACACAGAGGGTTTCGATTGTCCCTTTTAATTAACAGACGAAATAGTGACCATTTGTTCATTTTTGTTTTTCGCTGTTCTCTGGAACCGTCTTCTTTGGTTGTCATGAATACTTTTAACCACAGTTTTATGTTTCGCCCCCTTTCTGCATGTCAAACGCTCCTGTCACGAAGATACCGGGAAATCAGCGCCGCACATGATCTGACGTTAGCTACTTTCCTGCTAGTTAGCTACTTACATGCTGTTTGTTATCATGTAATTAGTTTTCTTTCGCAACCAGATTTTATCACACGTAGAAAGAATTGTTTTTCCTTTGTTGCACTTTCTATATTTATTATGTTAATAATCTCTTTCACGAGACATGCGATAGATGGAGCTGCAGGCGCGCCGCAACGAATTTAACATTGGAGGTGGGAGTCGCTTAGCCCCACCATAACCCCTTCTTCTTAGCATTCCGAGCCCTTGAGGTTCATTGCTGCAGATGTCACCCACCTGTACTCATCTCTCTGGTTGGCCTTCTCTTTCCAGTTGGTGACACCAAGGGTTTGTAGGTCTGTCTGGATATTATCTCTCTATCGTCTTTTTGATCGGCTTTATAGTCTACGACCATTCAGCTCTCTTGCATACCGTTTTTACTTCTCTGTCATCTGGCGTTCTCTCAATATGCCCCAAACATTTCAGTTTATTAGCTCTCATGATGCCAGTGATCAATTGTGATTTAAACGGATTATGAATTTTGTTGTTGCTTCTCACTCTCAATCTCCCGCTGTTTGTATCTTTGATAGGCCCAAACATTCTTCTTAACCTTGCAAATTTTTTTCATGTCCCTGAGCGCCCTCCCCCCCCCCCCCCCCACAACCTTTTCACCACCATCACCACCACCGTCACCATGAAGGGGGCCCCAAGAGACTCGAGATCCCAGGTTGCAGCGCCTGTGTGAACAATAACTCACATTTCCCGCCAGTTTTCCCAGACACCCAGATTTTCACTAATAACACACACGCTCTAACGCCAGTCACAACTGACACTTGTTGTAAGCTTGGACACGCGTGGACAGGTAAGAATAATTTACACAGGATGTTTATTCGTTGTGTTGGGTATTGTTCTAAGAACAGATATTACAGCATTTAAGACATTCACATAAGAGCTCCATTGCCCTGTCTGAAGCTATGTAAAGTGCCCGGCTCTCTAGCATAGTTGGCTTAACCGGATTGCGCGGAGACCGGTTGACGAACTCCTTGTGGTCCGGGTTCAATCCCAGGGGTAGGCAGAAAAGCCACATTTTCTCCCAGATTTACGGTATTTACAATGGAATCAAGGCCGAAAGGTTG